AGAGGACCATGTTTCCACTGAAGGCTGTAGGCAAGACCCTTCCTTGCTTCTTCCAGCTTCTGGTGGCCCCAGGCTTTGCTTGGCTTGTGGCAGCATAACTCTAATCTCTGCCTCCTTCTTCACATGGCCTTCTTCTCTATGTCTGTGTCCAAATCTCCCTCCCTTTTCTCTTGTCACTAGTCATTGGATTTAGGGACCACCATAAATCTAGGATGATTTCATCTCAAGATTCTTAACTAGCTACATCTGTAAAGACCCTATTTCTAAATAAGGTCACATTCTGAGGTTCCATGTGGCCATGAGTACTTGGGGGCAACACCACTCACTCAACCCGCTACAGTTGCCCAGTCTGTTTCTAGTCAACAGAAATGCTGTATTTTCTCAGCCCTTTAACACTGGAAGTTCTCTAACCAGAAAGAAATAAATATTATTTCAAACTTTTGGTCTTATGACCTCTTCACTCTCTTAAAAATTACTGAGGATCTAAACAGTTTTTATGTGAGTTATATCTATTGATATTTACCATATTATAAATTAAAAGGGAAAAAAATTAAATATTCCTTTATTCATTAAAAATAACAAACCTATTATGTTACTAACACTTTTAACAAAATATGACTATATTTTCCAAAACAAGAAAACTATTTTCCATTTTTGCATATTTCATAATGTATGATGTATGGGTTCTTAGTCTGCTCATGCTGCCATAACAAAATATCACAGACTGCTGGATGGCTTAACCAACAGAAATTTATTTCTCATAGTTCTGGAGGCTGAGAAGTCCAAGATCAAGGTGCAGCAAAGTGGGTTTCATCCAGAAGCCTCTTCTCTTGGCATGTAGGTTACCAGCATTTTGCTGTATGCTCACATGCCTTTTCCTCTGTGCTTACCTGAGAGATTTAGCTTTCATGTCTCTTTTTATAAAGGCACTAATCCTATCAGAACAGGGCCCCACCCTTATGACCTCATTTGGATGGAAGAGAAAACTTAAAAATTTTGAACCTCTTATTTTGGTTTCATTCATGCTACGATCAAGCAGCTAATTATAATTAGGCTAAAGGTAGTGGCACTTCTAAGGCAAAAGCACAGAAACTGTAAGAAAGGCAAAGGGAATTGTCTGAAAGGGAAAGATGGGGAAAGGTCTCATTGTTCCTACAACAGGCTGGGCTTGCATCTCAAGGCCTTCACTGTCCCCTCTGACTGGAAGGCTCTTTGCCCAGTTATCTGTGTAACTAACTTTATGTACCTTCTTTGCTCAAATGTCACCTTCTGTGTGATGCCTTCCCTGACCATCCCATTTAAAACTGAGCCTCTCCCCACCCTCCTCCCTATTCCACTTGCCAGCCTCATTAAACACCCTAGCACATATCACCATCTGACATAGAAGAGATTTTACTTTATCTTCCACACCTAAATTTAAGTCTCCACCTCAACTCCCATCCCATCTTAAGGTAAATTCCTTGAAAGCAGGGATCTGTCTGTTTTGTTCCTGTGATATCCCCAGTGCCTAAAATTTTGCCTGGCACATATGCAGGTACTTCAAAAAGCTTGTGAAAAGATTTGTACTATCTTTTAATTCTATTTTTCCATGAATTACCCTTGTTTAACAGGTCTTCAAAATGTTTTGGATGAACAAATGAAAAGCAAAAGTGGGAAGAACATCCAAAACTGTACCAAGCCATTTGGTGGCACCAATGATTTTGCTTCTCTAGATTAGAATACAGTTTTGATAAACTGTGCTGTGTACAATCCTTCAAATTGTTTGGAAAGATAGGGAGGGATGGAAGTAGAGAACACACCATTTACATTAGGAACTACAAAGAGTTGAATACTTTTCCAACTTTTTCTCCAAAGTTATTGTTATTTAAAAACACCCAAAAAGAAAAACTAAAAATTACACACAAATTTAGTAGATAACCCCTTGTTTTTTCTTTCTTAATTTCTCTGAATTTTTCCTTATCACTCATTCAAGAAATGTTTTAATAACGATATACACAACATTGGAGAAGATACTAGGGAGATGTTAATACATATGAAACAGTTCCTACCTCCTATAATTTTGTAGGATATATAAAATGTATAATTCCTCACATACCATAAGGTAAGACCTAACTATCAAAACAACAATGAAACATTGAAACAACAATGATACATTAGCTGTGGATATCAGGAAGAATTGAAAAAGGAGCTGATATCTGAGATGGGTATTACAGGATTTTGATAGATGGTATTAGACATAGATGGCACTCCATGAAAAGAAAATGGCAAGAATAAGCAAATGAAGCAATGAAAATACACCAGACTTGCTACAGCTGGGGATATAGGGATTCGTAAAAAGGCTGGAAAGAGGGTATTGGCTGCCACCCTAATGGTTTGGATTTTATTGCAAAGTCAGTGAGGATGCTGTAGAAGAAAGGGGAAGTGCTGTGACCAAATCAGCATTTCTGGAAGATTAATCTTATACTGGTATGCAGGACAGACGGGAGGAGGAAAAAAGAGAAAAGCTAGTGAGGCTCATTAAAGTCTTTGTTGGTACTCCAGGAATTCATGAGTACCTAGACTAGGGTGTGAACAACACAAAGGAAAAGTGAGAGGGTATATATGAAGGATATATAAGTGAAGACTGCACAGAGCTTGGCAACAAATTCAATTCAAGGAAGAAAGGAAAGCATCAGAAGTAACTTTTGACCTTAGATAAACAGGAATATGGAAAAACAGAAACAAGGAAGTAAGAGGAAAATTTAGTTTAGGGAGAGAAGAGTAGTTTAGTTCTAGCCAAGTTAAATTTAAGATGCTTGCAAAAAATAGGGCCAAAAGCTCCAGGTAAATATAGAAATGGCTGACTTGAGCTTGGAAAAGAGGGCAGTATAAGACGTGTTGATTGAAAAGTCATCCATAAAGGAAAAGACAGAAGTAACGAAGATAGATGAATTTTCCTAGGAGGGAACTATACTGTCAAGAATTGACACCGTAAGAAAGGGTCACGTTTTTGGGCCAGAGGAAAGAGAAGCCAAAGAATACAACAAACGACAATCATAAAGTTCAAAGACTTCAGAGAAATGTCGTAAAACACAAAGGGAAAGTCAAAAAGGGGGCTGATTCACAGAGTAAAACTGCCACAGGGTAGTCAAGAAGAAATTCTAGGTATTTGTTACAACAAGCTAAATAACTTTGTAGTTGAAACATTACAATAAGTTACAGGGGAAAGAACTATTATCCACCTTCTAGGGGAAGGTTTGGTACCTGCCTACAGTCTCATCTTTCCTCACTGGCAATGCTCACATTCTACGAATTCCAGAGGAGCCCCACGTTCTTTCCTGACTTAAGATCTTTGCAGACGGTGTTCAACACCTCTGCCTGGAACACTATTTCTGCCATGCTTTACAAAGTTAACTCCTTTTCATCCTCCTGATCTCAGCTTAACTGTCACTTTTCAGAGACTGTCCGTGATCCCTGCTCCTCCCGAACAAAAATTAGATTACTTTGTTAAACTCTCTTCCCAGGTTTTTCTTTGTGGCACTTATAAATTATAAATATGTCTCTGTGTGATTAGTTTATGTCTATCTCCGACATTAGATTGGCAAGCTCCTTGAGAGGTGACGTCGCTATTTTGCTCATCTCATTCCCAGCACCATGTCAGATACACGGTAAATACTTGTTGAATGAATATTCCAATAAAGACTTTGCAATAATGAATAAATGAATATTCCAATAAAGACTTTGCAAAAGATTCTGCAAATAAGCTGAGCAGAACAAAACAGCGTATAATGGCTCATGTTGTGAAATCAGTTCTGCAGCAGGAATTGGCCATCTCCAAGCTGAGTTATCAAACCAATTTGCACAGTAAGCAAAACTACATTGGTGCGAAAACAGCGTGCAGATAATTTTACACTAGATCACACCCATGTTCAGTGTGTAAGTACTGTAATTCTTATTAAGCACTGATTTTTTCAGAACACTGGAGACAATACAGTGTTGCTGAAAATATGATGAGCAGGTAGAAAAAGGGGCTGTCACCAGGAGGTTTACGAACTCCACTCCCGTTCTCTGCATTAGCCTTGCTAGCTGAGATGCAGAACACTGGAGACAATACAGTGTTGCTGAAAATATGATGAGCAGGTAGAAAAAGGGGCTGGCACCAGGAGGTTACGAACTCCACTCCCGTTCTCTGCATTAGCCTTGCTAGCTGAGATAATAGCTGACGACGGATCCCTGCCGAAACGGGAGCTAATGCAATTATTTCGTTTTTGGAAAGAAGAGAAAGTGTGAGTTAAAAGGGAGTCCCCAGGTTGCAAAAGGGCTACTATCGGAACTCTGGAAGCCCAAAGAGCTTAGGCTGATCTGAAACAAGGCCAGCAGCCCCGGGTGTGAGACATACAAATTCTGAGCCCCAGTGTTCGCCGGGTTCGAAGTCAACTTCCTACGGACAAAACTCTGGAAGCCCAAAGAGCTTAGGCTGATCTGAAACAAGGCCAGCAGCCCCGGGTGTGAGAAATACAAATTCTGAGCCCCAGTGTTCGCCGGGTTCGAAGTCAACTTCCTACGGACAAACAGTGGGAGTTCGGAGTGGTAGCCAGGGACTGGGCGACCTATTGTACCTTGCTTGACTCGAGGCTCCCTGGCGTTGGCAGCGGCGACGGGAGGCGGCCTGCCCACAGGCTTCTTGCTTTGGGCCTCCCCAGCAGCTCCGGCTTCGGCGGATTTGGCTCTGGAAGCAGACACGGCAGCCCGGACCACCGCGGCCCCCGGTGCCTTGTGTTTCTTGTTCTTGCCGCCCATGTTACAGCTGTGGCATAAGATTACTCCCGGCCCAGGCCCCGGCGCCACCACACCACAGCCACCAACAGCTCTTCACATTCTCCGACTTCTGCGCCGCCACCTTGCGTCCTTCATCCGGGATTCTCAGGCCGGGGCGAGGGCTGCCTCGCAATTGGTCCGATTCACCAGGCTCCGCCTCCTCGTCGTCCCAGGGTACCTGCCGCGTGCGTGCCCGGCGCTGTGCGCTGCGTTTCCTCTTTAGCCAGTGAGCTGTCTACCCACTAGTGGTCAGAGAGGAAGAGAAAGAGCAAAAGGGGAAAAAAGAGTCAAGGAAATAGTGCAACCCGACTACTTTTGTCTCCGCGGGCCACGGTTGAGCCTTCACTGGGCGTCACTGTCGGTGCGGTCGCGGGGCATCGTGGGTAAGAGGAAGATTAGGTCTCACTACTCCGGAAGATGGCGGACGCATTTGGGGATGAGCTGTTCAGCGTGTTCGAGGACGACTCGACCCCTGCGGCCGGAACCAAAAAAGACAAGGAAAAGGGGAAGTGGAAGGGACCACCAGAGGCCGCGGACAAGGCCGGGTAAGGGAGGTGTCCAAGTTGTTTTTATTTTTTTCCTCGGAGCTGAGGGAAGAAAACACGAGGCGCTTATGAAGAGCACGAGAAAGTGGGTATACGTTTTGTGTCGTCGGGAACTGAAGGGGTTGAGAAGCTAGAGAGGAAGAAAGTTGGTTCGGTAAAGCGGGGTCTGGGCGTTTCCCTGGGTCCTCAGGAAGCGTTAGTTCCTGCTGCTGCATTTCCTTTGCGCCTACCTTGCTGACTACCCTAGTCTTCGTAGTGGGGCCGTGAAGGCAGGTGAGGTAAGGTTTTGTAGCACCAGCACAATACCTGGGACACAGTCTTTAATAAACGAAACGAATGACTAGTTCAGGAAAGGGTGAAAAAGCCTAGAAAAAATGACTTGAATAGACGGGGGCGTGGGGAGCAAATATCAACAGAAGGGAGAGAAATTTAATCTTCAAGTTGTAGTTTTCTTTCCCTTAAAACGGAGATAATAGTTTCTACCACTAGGGTTATTGTGAGGGTTATATGAAATAAGCACCTATAGTGCTTAGCACATAATGAAGTCAAATAAGTACTAGCAATCGTGAGTTTATTTAGAAAATTTTTAAAAACTAGTGGACCCTAAACTTATGTACAGGCTGATGCATATAACCCCCAGAAAGTGTACAGAACTGTTTATAATAGAACAAGGAAAAGCTGTTCTTTGAATTAGATAAGGTGATTCATTATTAATCAAAATTTACTCTTGGCATGGTGAGGGAGATACCCAATGGATGCTTGAATTAAATGAGACATGAATTTGCTCTCAAGCAATTTTCGGTCTAGGTAAGGAGATAGAACAGGTACATTTTAAAGAATTACAGTATGTAGGTGATGGACTTAAAATTAGTTGTATGTGCAGTTAAGTGCTATAGAAGTTAAGGAAGGGGAGATACCTGTTTGACGTTTACGGAGGCAAGAGGATATTCTGGATTGAGGAAATAGTATGTTAATGATGACAAGATTTTTTTTTAGGAGCACAAATTGGGCTAGAGGGAATGTTTGCTTAGGGACTACAAGAGACAAGGCTGGGAATATAAATTAGTTTCAGATTTGAGGGTCCTTGAATATCAAGCAGAGGACTTTTGATTTCATTTTTAAATCCCTGTTGAACAAGGTTTGTTGTGTTTTTGTTTCCTAATTTGGTGATAATATAAGTAGAATGATAGTTTAGGAAAGTTAATTTGGTAGTATTGGTAGAGTATATTGAATGGATAGACACCGATAGTAAGAAGTAACTTAGGGAAGTATTTTAGTTATCTAGTTATGGGATGAAAAGAACCTCAACTCAGGAGATGACAGGATTGAAAAGATATGAACATATTAAGGAAAAAATGGACTGGCCTTAATTATCTGAGAACAATGGAATGGGATTCAAAAGGTACTTTTAATTTGGCTGTCAGGGTGAAGAAAAATAGGAAAGTTCACAGATTTTGATTTGGAGGTGAAATTAATTTGGCTTGGAACAAAGTGAGGTGATTGTAGTGTATCCACATGGAAGTGTCCATTGAGTAGTTTTAATAGGGCTTTGTAGAGAGACCAGGACTGGAGGTGTGTATTTGAATGTCATTTGAATTGGTGCTGGTCAAGGGCAGAGATCCTGTGGGAAAGAATAGTGACACTTAATATAGCACTTCAGAAGAAGATGCATAAGACTAAAGGAGAGATTAGAAGATTAGTAGAAAAGTCAGGAGTATGAAATGTTACATAAGTAAGAGTGGAACAAAATGGAAAAATAGTGTTCAGCTCTCATTGAGTTGGAGAGAGTGGGAATACTTTTTAAGGAAAATGAGAAGGGATGACAGCTTCTTATTTTTTTTCAGGAAGTATTAATGGTTGCTGGAATGTTTAAATCGGCAACTATGGTGGTATGAAGACAATACATATGTAATTTCTCTCTTCAGTATATATACTATACCTCTAAATTTCTAGGGTAAAATCAGTTCAGTTTGCAGTGTGGTAGGGGTAAGCTGTTTCACAAGTGAAAATCAGGAGGAATATAAAAATAATCTAATTTACATTTTAATTTTATTAGGAAATATGTGAACATTAGAGAAGAGAAATACATAAGAAAATTCAGTGCATTTAAAAACTTTCAGGGCTTCGTTTACTGCCAACACGTCTACGTAGTCCTTGTCTTCTAGATATTTTTAGGGAAAAAATCCAGTTTGCTTGATTGCATTGATTATACTATCATAATCAACATGCGTACCATGAATCCCTTGTGATCTGTGTAACACAGGAGGGCAAATTAGGGAACTTTAGAGGAACTTGACCTGTGTATTTATTAATACCCTAGACCAAGTAGATGCTTTTTAAGAAACTTTATGAGGGTTGTCAAACTATATATGTGTGAAATAGTATGAGGAACTCCATGTATCCATAACTCAGCATCAACGTAATACCCTAGACCAAGTAGATGCTTTTTAAGAAACTTTATGAGGGTTGTCAAACTATATATATGTGAAATAGTATGAGGAACTCCATGTATCCATAACTCAGCATCAACGGTATCAAGCCATGGTCAGTCTTTTCCCACACCCTTTTTTTTAAATCAAGTGTTACTCATCTTGTTCTTTCTCCCTGAATATTTCAGTGTTCATCTAACCCAGCAGAACTAGCAGTAATTCCTTAATATTGTTAAAAACTCAATCCACAGTGAGTTTTCTCTAGTTGTCTCAAAGGTGTTTTTTGTTTTGGTTTATTTGAATCAGGATCCAGAAAAAGCCCATACACTGTTTTGGTTGTTATAGCCCTTAAGTCTTATATTCTGTAAGTCTCCTTTTTTTTTCCTTATGCCATTGATTTCTTTCCTCTTTTTTTTTCCTGAGCCACTTATTTATTGACACATAATTATTGTACATATTTGTGGGGTACAGTGTGACATTTAGATTCATGTATACGATTGTGTAATGATCAAATCAGAGTAATTAACATATCTGTTATCAAACATTTTCATTTGTGTTGGGAACATTCAACATCCTCTCTTTTTTTGGCAGCTGGTCAATATAGGGAACCAAACTGTTGACCTGGTGTTACATAGCTGCGCTCTACCCCAACATTCTCTCTTCTAGTTATTTGAAAATATGTAGTTACCTACAGTGCTGTGGGACACTAAAATTTATTCCTCCTATATATCTGTAATTTTGTGTCCAATAACCAAACTCTCTCCCTCCTTCCCCCAACCCTTCCCAGCCTCACTAGTAACTGTTCTGCTCTCTACTTCCCTGGGATCAGCTCCAGGTATGAGTGAGAATGTGTGGTGTTTATCTTTCTGTGCCTGTGAAGTAACACTAAACATAATGTCCCACAGGCTCATCCATGTTGCCTCAAATGACAGGATTTCATTCTCTTTTTTTTACAGCTGAATAGTATTCCAGTGTGTATATACCACATTTTCTTTATCTATTCATCGTTGATAGATACTTAGGTTGACTTCTTGTCTTGGTTATTGTGAATAATGCTGCAGTAAATGTGGGAGTGCAGATATCTCTTCGACATTGATTTCCTTTCCTTTGTGTACATATATATACACCCAGTAGTGGGATTGCTGGACCATGATGTTGTTCTCTTTTTAGTTTTTTGAGGACCCTCCATATGGTTTTCCACAATGGCTGTACTAACTTATATCCCCGCCACCAGTGTGCAAGAGTGTCCTTTTCTGCCCTTGTGCCATTTCTTTTTGGAGGGATGGGGGAGTGGAGAAACCAGGTCTTTTGTCCTGTAGTTTCCCTCATCTTGGATTTGTTTTGTTAAGCTATCATTTAACTTGCTCTTCTGTCCTCAAGTGTTTACTGTAAACTGTCTTTATTTCTAGAGCTGCATTGTCCGTTCTAATAGCCACTATTCATGTGTAGCTATTGAGCACTTAAAATATGGCTTGTCAGAATTGAGATGCGTGGTGAATAGAAAGTACACCACAGATTTTGAGGACTTAATGTGAAAAAACAAATGTAAAATACCCCATTGATTTTTATATTGGCTATAATTGAAATGGTAATATTTTGCATATATTGGGTTAAGGTAATATATTAAAATTTATTTCATCTGTTTCTTTTGACCTCTTTTAATGTGGTCACTAGAAAATTTTAAATTACATATCTAGCTTGCATTATGCATTTGTATATATTAGACAGTGCTGATATAGAGGCTTGATGAGATTCATGTTCAGTTGTTTTAGATAAAAAATGCTCCATAATGGTGCAGTGTACATCCTATTGCATTATGCCGCAAGACACACGATGTCTGATTGTTCCCCTCTTCTAAGATTATCAGTTGGTTAAAATAGTGTCAGTTTGATCCCTCATGAACCTTGCACATAAAAATGGCTTTAGCACCTATTGATGACCATCTAGTTCCATTATTTAATCAGTAATTGCAAAGTGATGATTTTCTATTTTTGTCATTGCTTTCTGCATTTATTACTTAGAATCCATCTATAAAAAAAGAACATTCCCTCATCAGCTGTTTGTTTACCTTGAAATACAGTTCATAAAGAAAAGGAGGGATAAATGCTTAGTTACTTCTCTTTATCAATTTTAAGAGAAATGAGTTGTGCCCTAGGGAACTTCCAGTGGTAACCAACGTGGGTGAATGTGTTTAGTTTCTGGATGAATTAATGGATTTTTATATGTTTGATAGGTTTTATTCCATTGCACTCATTTCTTTCTTTTTAAAAAAAATTTATTGGGGGGTAATTGAAGTACTCTAAACCATCACCACAATCAAGGTAACAAACATTTCCATCACCCCCGAAGTTTCTTTGTGCGCTGTTGTAATTCATCCCTGTCTCTTTCCTCCTCTATCCCTTGGTAATCACTGGTCTTTTGGTTGCTGTAGAACTGGATGTATTTTATAGAATTTTATTGAAATAAAGTATGTATGTATTTTTTGCTTGTCTTCTTTTACTCAGCATAATGGTTTTGAGATTCACTCATGTTGTGGTGTGTATCAACAGTTTGTTCCTTTTTATTGCTGAGTAGTATTCTATTTTCTGGATATGCAGTCATATGCCAAATAATGACATTTTGGTCAACAACAGACTGCATATGCTATGGTGGTCCCATAATATTACAGTACTCTATTTTACCATACCTTTTGTATGCTTAGGTATGTTTAGGTACACTAGTACTTATCATTGTGTTATAGTTGCCTATAGTATTGAGTACAGTAACATGCTGTACAGGTTTGTAACCTAGGAGCCATTGGCTGTACCATATAGCCTAGGTAGACTATACTATCTAGGTTTGTGTAAGGACATTGTTTGATGTTTGCACCACAGACAAAATCACCTAACCATAGATTTCTCAGAATGTATCCCTGTTGTTAAGCAGTACATAAGTATCACATTTGTTTATGCTTTTATCTGTTAATGGACATTTAAGTTGTTTCCATTTCTATTTTTGACATTTGCATTTACAATCTTAGGTCAGCGAAGGCCCTTCAAGTTGCTCTTGACAAGACCCCATCAATCTTTGATAGCTTATGTGCTTTCTTGATTTTCTGGACTCTTGTTTTCAGTCTGAGATCTGGAATCAGCCTTATCTCTAAGGAATCTCTAGTTCCTTATGGTGGGAGATCTTTAGTGCTTAGCATGTTCAGTGCTACTGGATTTCATTACTTTTAGGCCTTTACAATACAAAGAACTAGGGGATCTTTTTGTTTTTAGAAAAAAATAGAATTCATATGGACATTTCTAATATAATTAATATTAGAGTTTATTTAAATTCAACTTTTATAATTGTATCATTTTAATTTTTTGCTGAAAATCTTTATTCTTAATGATAATTACATAATTAAGCTTTATCTTACATATACCAATAATCATTTCAAAGTAACAGTAGCAATGTTGTTATTAAGATATTGAATACATTTTGTGGTTCTTTTTGTGCATGTATATATGTGTGATCACACTAACAGTGAAAATACTGTGTAGTAGTTCTTTAAATGTTTATGCTACTAACTTTATAGTTACTGTTTTCATTTGTTTCCCTTTATTTTCAGTTTTTAAGGATTGCTAAAGTTTTAATTTTTAAGAAATTATGTAAAACATTTTATGGTTCCAAGGTCAAAAGTATGAAACAGTACATTTTTGCTTTCATCCCTGCCTCTTCTGCCCTCTTTCCTCCTTCCCCTTTAGTTTTTGGTTCGTCCTTTATTTCCTTTTGAAAGTATAATCAAATAGTGCGAGCATGTGTGTGTGTATGTCTTTTCCACTATGCACTTCTTAGCATTTAAAAACTGTTCCTTATCTTTTTTTTCCACTTAATATTATGACCTAGAGGTTGTTCTGTATGAAGGTATAGAGATGTTTTTTTTTTTTTTTTTTTTTTAGCTGCATAGTTGGATACATTCAGTCTGCATTAGCTGCATTGTGTGGATTGATTCAATTTGTGTTCTTGTAACAGACATTGTATTATTTTCAGTCTTTTGCTATTACAAATGATACAGTGATGAATAGCCTTGTACATGTCCATCTGTTTTTTGGTTATTATTTGCCATTTTACCTTTGGGACAGATTCCTAGAAGTGGAATTACTAGGTCAAAGGGTAATTAAGTATGTGATTTTGCTAGGTGTTGCCAAATTCCTCTCCATAGGAGATGTACCATTTTGTGTTTTCAACAGTGTGATAGGCAGAATGATGGCCTCCCAGTGATGTCTATGTCCCTATCCTTATAACCTTTGAAAATGTTAGGTTATATGGCAAAGGAGAATTAATGTCACAGGTGGAATTAAGGTTGCTAATCAGTTGACCTAGAAATGGAGAGAGAATTCTGATTATTCAGGTGGGCCCAATGTAATCACAAGACTCCTTAAACGTGACAGAGGGAGGCAGAAGAGGTAGAACCAGAGAGATGGCAACATGAGAAGAACTCAGCTGACTTTGAAGATGAAGGAAAGAGGTCATGAACTAAAGAATGTAGGTGACCTCTAAAAGTGGGAAAAGACAAGGAAGTGGATTCTCCCCTAGAGCCTTCAGAAAGGAGCAAAGTCCTACCAGCACAGCACCTTGATCTTAGTCCAGTGAGACCTATTTTCACTTCTAGCCTACAGAACTGTAAGACAGTAAATTTGTCTTGTTTTAAGGCACTGAGTTTGTGGTAATTTGTTACAGTAGCAGTAGTAGGTTGATAAAAAACAGTAACGTGTAAGCGTGCTTTCTGGCCTCATCCAGAGTGTATTGAACTTGGATTTTAGTCTGATAGGTGGGAATTGTGTTTCAACCAGTGTTAATTTATAGGAATGAAGCAAAGCATCATCTCTTATGTTCAGAGGCCGTTTGTTTTTCTTTCTTTGTGAACTATTCATATCTTTGTAAAAAATGGATAGCTGGCCTTTTTCTTCTCAATATTTAGGAGCCCTTTATATAATAGGGATGTTATTCCTCTGATGTAAATTGCAAATATTTTTCCATTGTTGATTTTTGCCATTCAGAAACATTTAATGTAATCTGATTTGTCACTCTTGGTCACTCTTGGATTTTTGTTGTGGTTAAGAATGTTTTTTCCATTCCCAAGCATCACCCTTAAAGTAAGAACTGATTCTGCAGAATTCATTCTTAACCATTTACTTTCAGGAAATGTTTTGATGGCACATTACAATCAGAATCAACTAACAGTGGAAAAAACAAGAGAGATTCAGATTTTGAAGGCACAGATGAACCCATTTTTGGAAAGAAGCCCAGGATAGAAGAGTCAATAAATGAAGACTTAAGGTAATATTTCCATAGTCATAAATGTTAGTAACTCTTAATTTAGGTGGTTGCATGACATTTTGAAAATTGCTCATATGTTGATGTTTTATAAAAATATTTGCAAAATATTTAGAGAAATGAAGACAAATATACATTCATACAAGCTTGGAAGTATAGAATACTTATCTAAGTTTGGAGAGCTGGAAGATTATATAGAAAAGACTTACCTTCTAATACTTTAGAACCCAATTTTGAGAAAGAATATTGAAACCTGATTTTTTTAAAAAGAAGAAAAGAAAGCTTTTCTTTATTTGTTAATGTCCCAAGAGGAGGATCACTGGAAGAGTGGAATAAAAGAAAAGAATAAAACTGACCCAGTGGAAGGAACTAGATTTTTCACTATTGCATGTAGCAGTAGAATGGCTGTGAATCTCAAGGCTCCTTGTCAATAAGGGAGATCCATAGATATTTGTGGCTAAAATAGCTGGTATTTTTCTGATTTTGAAAGCTGGAAGTTTATAGAAGTTGATGCCAATATTTTTGGTTGACCTGTTTTCCTCCTGTGATGATATTTACAACTTTCTTCTCCCTTCTTGTGCGCTGTATTCTAGTCTGGCACTATCATGAAGAGTTTACTCTTTTCTGTGGTTTTTTTTTTAACCAGTTAACTGTTGTTATAGCTCATGTACTGTAAATGATGATAGATGTGTCACTAAAATTTTTAAGATGCACCGTTGCCCAAGCTAGTGCAGTAGGTTACAAAATAATATAGGTAGTTTAAAATTGTTGTTGACTATCATTGTAGCTTTTGGTTTTTACCCGAAGTATGACTTTGGGGTTGGGGGAAAGAGCAGCTGGCTGGTACTGGGATCCGAACCTTTTACCTTGGTGTTAAAACACTGCTCTCTAACCAACTGAGCTAACTGGCCAGCTCCTAAGAATGATTATTGACTTAAAGTAAATATCAGAAATATAACAGAGTAATGAATCTAGCATAGAAGTACATCCGTTTTTCTTCAATTTATGCACAGTAGTGTACTTTCAGAGTCTAATCAAGAACACAGATGAGTATATTAGGATTTTGATGAAAATAAGGAACACTTCTATAAATTATAACAAAAAAATAAACAACTTCAAATGGTATTTTTATACTTCTCAGTGTATACGTAGCAAGAAGAAGCCAACTGGAGAAAATATAGTGAGAAGTAAATCAGTAAACAACCATGCTGGAAACCAGGCATCATGTGATAAGATATTAAAACATTAAAATAATGATTCTGACCCTTTGCATGTATACCAGTTTTGCCTATAGTTTTAGGGGTTTAACAAGCTTTTAATGAAACCCAAACTATGTTTTTATTATGAATTTTGAAGTCCTGATGGACCTTAAAAAGTTAACAGGTTTTTAAGGTTGAATTTTCCAGGTAATTTTTCCTCAATAAAAAAGGCAGTGTGATGACGTAAGCGTGAACTCTTAAAGTCTCATAGATGTATTATTCTGCCCCTGCTGAATGAACTTAAGTGAGGGACTTCACTTTTCGGAGCCTCAGAGTTCCCATCTCTGAAAGGAAATAATACCTTATTTTAGAGGTTGTTGTGAAGATTAATAACAATATATGGAAAATGTGTTGCACAGTGCCTACCACAAAGCGTGTTATTAAAAACATGCTATTAAACACAAAGCATATTATTAAACACACTGCCTTTTTGTTATTAAAAACATGCTTTGTGGTGGGCACTCTGCTACACATTTTCCATCTATTAATTGAAGGATTAGACAGCAGAATTAACTTCTGTGCTATCTTGATGAAGGTTTTTTTATTCTTTCTAATTTTCACTAGTGGTATATTTACTAAATAGAATCATGAAGGAATGCTCCTAGAATGCTTTTGGGATAGCCTCTTTTGATTTTAAGTGTGCTCTAGTGTGGCTATGTGTTTTCCTATAGATTTTAATATTTTGTTTTTATAGGAATATCCATTTATTCTTGATGCTTTTCAAAGAGAAGCCATTCAGTGTGTTGATAATAATCAATCAGTTTTAGTATCTGCACATACATCAGCGGGAAAAACTGTGTGCGCTGAGTAAGTAGCTTTCTTTTTAAATGAAATCTTAAAATCACTTAGTTTTGTTTCTTAACTCATTCTTTAAAAGTTTCAGTTTTTTTTGTTTGATTTCTTCAACTAAAGACGGTTTACTTGTCCCTTTCTATTTTGAATACCGTTAAGTTCTTTTTCTTGACTTATTGAACTGGCCTCCAGTACAGTGTTTAATAGAAATAATGAGGCGGGCATCCTTGCTTTGTTCCTGATACTAGGGGGAAAACACTCAGTCTTTCAGTATTAAGCATATTACCTGTCGGTTTTTCATAGATGCATTTTATCAGTTTTAGGAAGTTCACTTCTATTCCTTCTACAGAGATTTTGTCAAATGCTTTTTTTCTATCTATGGAAACAATGAGTTTTTTTGTTCTGATAATATAATGAATTACATTGATTGGTTTTCAAATGATAAAACATCCTTAGATAAACTACACTTGATCATGATGTATAACCCTACTACTGTATTGTTGGATTTGATTTGTTAAAATTTTAAGAATGTTCTCAGCTGTGTTTATGAGGAGTGTTGGTTTTTAGTTTTATCGTATGACTTTCAGGTTTTGGTATCAGGGTAATGTTTGCCTCTCTGTTTTTTTCCTGAGTAATCTGGTTAGAGGTCTATCAATTCTATTGATCTTGACCTAAAAAAACAGCTTTTGACTTCATTGATTTTTCTCTGTTCTGTTTTCTATCTCGTTGATTTCTATTCTGATCTTTGTTTTCTTTCTTCTACATTGAACTTCATTTTTTCTACACTGAGCTTTTTCTAGTTTTTGAAGGATGAAAGGTAAGGAAATTGATTCGAGACCTTCCTTTTTCTAACAGGCATTTGTTTAGTGATGTAAATTTCCTTCTAATGCTGCTGTAGCTGCATCCCACAAATATTATATTCTATTTGATATATTCATAAAATGATTTTGATATTTTCAAAAAATTTAATATGTCTTGATAAGTTATGTTTGATCCATATTTCTGTATGGCATAATTTTCCTTCCTCCTGAAGAAATAAATATCTTTAACATTTATTGTAGTGCAAGTCTCCTGATGAGAAATTCTTTTAACTTGTGTATGTCTAAACATGTCTTTTACTTTTTCATTTTTGAAAGATATTTTCCCTTGGTATAGAATTCTAACTTTTTTTTTAAGACTGCCTTTTGTCTTATGTAGTTTATGGCAAGAACTCCATGGTGATTCTTATCTTTGTTCCTCTATTCATAATGTCTTTCTTCCTCTAGGTACTTTAAAGACTTTATCTTTATCATTGGTTTTAAACATTTTATAATGCACCTTGGTATAGTTTTTTCATGTTTTTTTGTGCATTGGTTCTACTTTTGCAGTTCTCTTGTGGCTCTTTTCCTTTGAGGACTCTAATTATACTTAAGCCACTTAAAATTGTCTCAAAAATTGTCTTACTGATGCTGTATTCATTTTTTTTCTTTTGACTTTCATTTTTTGGGTCATTTCTACTGCGATGTCTTCAATTTTATTAATCTTTCCTTCTGAATGATCTAATCTGCCATTAAACTCATTGAGTGCATTTCTCATTTCAGACATTGTAATTTTCGTTGCTAGAAGTTCAATTTATTTATTTTTAATATCTTCTAGGACTCGTAACTTTCCTTTAGCTTTTCGAACATATGGGATACAGTTGCAAATGTTTAAATGTCCTTATTACTCCTTTTTTCATCTGTGTTATTTTGTGGCTGTTTTGATGAATTGACTTTTCCCTTCATTGTGGGTTCTTTTTTCTCCTGTGTTTTTTTTTTTTTTTTTTTTTTTTTTTTGCATACTGCTTTGCTTGAATGTTTGGCTGTTTTTAATTTTTGTCACTGACTTGAAGCAGTTTGATTATGATGTTACTTTAACATAGTTTTTTTTTCATGTTTCTTGTGCTTGAGTTTGTTGGGATTCTTAGATCTGTGGGTTTATTATATTTTCATCAAATTGGGAAAATTTGAGCCGTTTTTTACTTCAGATATTCTCCATTCCTCTAGTCATTCAGGGACTCCAATTATAATTATAGGAGGCTTTTTTAACTTGTCCCACAGCCCACTAATGCTCCATTTATTTAGTATTTTTTTTTTCCTGCAGTGTCTAATCTGCTTTTAATCCTTTCCAGTGTGTTTTTCATCTCATCTCATTTTTCAACTCTAAAAGTTTGATTTGGGCCTTTTAATGTTTTTCATGTCTCTACTTAACATGCTGTCACTCTTAATCTTTGTTAGAACATATAATACAATTATAGTAACCTTTAATATTTTTGTTTATGAATTCTGTCATCTGTCTCATTTTTGGATCTATTTTTTTTTCCTTCTCATTATGGGTTGTATTTTCCTGCTTCTTTACGTGTTTGGTACTTTTCTCTTGCATGCTAAATAAAACATTGTGAATTTTACCTTGATGGGTGCCAAATATTTTTGCATTTCTATACATATTAATAAGATTTGTTCTGGGATATGGATAAGTTGTTTGAAAAGATTGTAAACCTTTTGAGGCTTGTTTTTATGATTTTTTAGGCAGACCCAGAGCAGCATTTAGTCTAGGATTAATTTTCCTTTTCCTGCTTCTTAGTCAACACTCTTAGTATTCTATCTAGTATCTTGTGAATTATGAAGTTTTTCACTGTGGCTGGTGGGAATCCAAATTACTCCCAGTCCAATATGAGATTTGGTCATTTTTATCTCTGTTCGTTTGGATTGGTTTTTCCCTGGTCTCAGATAGTTTCCTAAGACTTACTCACTGATCATTACTACTCAAAGACTTGTGAATGCTCCGCAGATATTCAGGGCCCTCTCTGTGCCACTTTCTCCTCTCTGGTATTCTGCCCTGCAATCTCTAGCTGCTTTGGCCTCCCCAGACTTTTGCCTTCATCTGTTCAACTTTGGGAAACCTCCAGGATCTACCTGGGTTCCTCTTGGAACTGTCTTGGAAAATATAGGCAATAATCTGGGGTTACCTACTTTGTTTTCTCTCTCTCAGGGATTACTGTCCTTATATGCAGTGTCTGAAACCATTGTTTTATATATTTTATCCTGTTTTATAGTTGTTTCAGGTGGGTGGGTAAAGCCAGTCCCTGTTATCCTTCTTGGCTTTAAGCGAATATTTTGTTATTATTTTTAATGCACATTATATATTACTACATTAGTGCACCTAATTTATAAAGAAATTACATATATGAGTATGTTCTAAATTTTTTGATAGATGTCTTCTAAAATGTATTTAATATACATTATGTTAATATAAAATAATTCCAGGACTCATGAAATATTTCTACCACTGTTATGGTTTGAATGTCTCTTCCAAAATTCATGTTGCAGTTTAATTGCCGATGTATCAGTATTGGAAGGTGGGGCCTATAAGAGGTGATTAGATTCTCATGAATGGATTAATCCTGATTTCATGGTCTATATTTAAATACTGAATTTTTCTATACTTGAGTACTGAATTTTCTTTAAAGACAAACAAAACCATATTGTCTTCTATTAATAGCTGTGGAAGAACTTCTCTATAATCAGAACCTGCTGTAATTTTCAGTCAAGACTGGTTTGATAAGTATTATAGGTAGGGAAAGAATACATGTGCATTTGCTTATTTGTGAAACTCAAGGGGAAAAACACTTCATTTTGCAGGGTGTCCTAATTGTTCATATCCTTGTGTGTGTGTGTAAATTGACAGGCAGAGGCTCTAAATTTTTGAAGGCCCATCTGTAGAACAAAAGTATTTCATTTGCAAGAAATAGAGTAACCATTAGTATTGTAATACTGTTGGTATTAGTAATTAAGTTGCATTAACTCCAGGTGACCAGAGTTAAAATTAAAACATTCTTATTCATTTAGGCCACTGTATTTCAGATTTGTCATAATTATTATTAGTAGTAGTATAATAGTTTTTATACTGTTATACAAATAGTCATTAGTATAATGTTTACTGTAAATAGAATAAGGTATTAATGTTCGGCAAAGTCCATTTAAGATAAGTAATTAGGGAAAATTTGGACATAATTTTCATATTAACAGAATTTTAAAAATCACATAATTTAAAGAAAAAGTTTTACAATTACTTTATTCTTATTTATTTTAACATTTTTAGGTATGCCATTGCATTGGCTTTAAGGGAAAAACAGCGTGTAATATTTACCAGTCCAATTAAGGCTTTGAGTAACCAGAAATACCGTGAAATGTATGAAGAATTTCAAGATGTTGGTCTGATGACTGGAGATGTTACTATTAATCCCACAGCATCTTGTCTTGTTATGACCACAGAGGTAATTTATTCTATATAGCGCCTCATCTTTTCCTTCTTAATTTAATTAACGTGTCTAATTAGAAAATGTAATATTTTGTTGCTTACTCTTTTTAGATAAAACGTAATTCTAAAGTATGTGTATTTCTGTTATTTGTCATGTAGTATAGATAAAGTTTTTTCTTCAAGTATTTTTAAAGGCTTATTACTGTCAGTGACATGAAAATGTTTTATTGGTCTTGTATAGGTATTTTCATGTATTTGAATACGTGGTTTCGTATAAGTGTGGTTCTTCATTCCATGTTATTTTTTTTCTTCTGCATATGAGTGGCGATACAAGTAGATAAGGAGTAACTTATTTTTAAATGGCAGTATTATGTTTAGCTTCTTCCCATAGTTACAGTTAAGTTTTGAATATACTTTTAACATCTTAAGTTTTGGACGTGATTAGCTGTTTTTACTGTAGTGTAAGTATTTTTGTACATACTTTAATTATATTGCTGCATTTTACAAGGTTACAGTACAATAGAAAGCATAAATTATCTTCTGGTCTGGAGATCCAGCCAAAGACCTTGCTCACTTTTTCATCTTGGTGCCCAATGTAAATTTATTATCCATTCTCAAAGTCTTCTTGCATCTGTGGGAGATTTTCTTAACTCTATAAAGATCAGGATATCTATTGACAGTATCCATATTGTGAGGAGGGGAGGCAGAAAAAATGGGCAAATATTTTGGGATTCAGCGTTTTGGATATAGGATACTTTAAGTTGCTCAGATATCCTAGAAAGTGGGAATCTTGTGTAAGTGCTGTGCTTATAAGGAAGTAGCTTTGTATTCTAGATAAATGGAGAGTAGAGTTGATAATAATTCTCTCCATGGATTGTATCTGCTTAGTAACTGTTGAGAAGTTATTTACTTTGGTTTTATTTGATTTATGAAATATTTTAAAGACATAACCCCCCTAAAATTATTGTAATATTTCCGTTTAATAAAGAACATATGAAATTCCTTATTGGGAAAAAAGTATTTTGTTGTTGGTTTGTGTTTGTCTGTTTGTTCTGCAGCTGGCCAGTACAGGGATCTGAACCCATGACTTGTTGTTACCAGCATCTTGCTCTAACCAAGTGTGCTAACTGACCAGCCCCTCATTGGAAAGAAATTTTTAACTATTAAATATATCAAAATCCTGCTAAATAACTCTTTTATTTTTTCTTTAGATTTTGAGAAGTATGCTATATAGAGGTTCTGAAGTTATGCGAGAAGTTGCTTGGGTCATATTTGATGAAATTCATTACATGAGAGATTCAGGTATATTCTTCAGTGTTGAGATGTGTACAGTATTTCCCTTAAGAATAGCATTAGGAATTTTGAACAAGAAGTTGTTAAATTTTTCTTTGAATTTTCGTGTGGCTGGAGTCATAATAAACTATTGCTTCTTTAAATTGTAGACGATGTGAAATAATATTTCCAGTAGGATTTCATTCAAGTACACCTCCTTAAATAGTAACTTCTGCTGGGTGAGAAAGTTCAAATTCAAACAAAGGCAGTGGAGTTAAAACTGGCTTGCTTTTGATACAGAGTTCTCAAATATAAGAATTTCTAAAACTTCTAGCTTACAAAATTAACTTTCTTGATTTTTATTAAGTTGAATATTTTAAAAAAGCTATGAAATACATGTTTTGTTTTAAAAAAAAGGTGGGGATTATGAAATAAAAATGAGCAAAAAAAATTACAGGTGCGCTTTACTTAGGCTATTATACTGCTATAATGGAAAAACAAGTGTGCTTGGAATTTTGGGGGTGCTGAGAGGGCTAATATTATCAAACACATTGAGAAGTTAAATATTTAATATGTACACACTTAAAATAAGATTTAATTTTTATTTAAACTGTAGTACTGAGTTAGTCTATGGAGAATGTAATACAATTTAAGGAACCACTTTTTTTTTTTTACCCTTTCAATATTTTATCCTTTCCAAATTTATAAAATTAAGCTGTAAACACTTGTTTCAGTTTTAAAATCATGAATTCTGTATTGGTTTGTTTATTTTAAGGGATTTTTCTGGGTTTTTTTTTCCCCCCATTTTAATAAAAACTGACTTATGGTTCTGCTTTTCATCAAATCTTCTTCACCTCCAGAGGATCATGAGGGTAATTTGAGTAAAAGATGCTGTATGGAATGGTAATGGTGTCTTCGAAATTTGTTGCTATATCTTTCTACAAACCTTTAACTTCTGCTTCTCAAAGTGAAGTGTAAATAATATTCCCTTGCCTTGTCATCGGGACCCTTGTTAGGCTGTTTGAAAGGATTCAGTCTGAAACTATTCTTTGCAGGCTATTTCCAAGTATGTTGTGTTTATAGTGGCTTAGTGCACTAACTTTCTACTGGATAGAGTCATGGTGAAAAAGTGGTTTTCAGTAAGGTTCTATGGCTAACAATATGCTTGTGTAAGGTGGTCTCCATTTCTAACTATAAAGCATATGAGAAAAAAATTTTAGGTACTGTCATAAAGTGACACTGAATCCCAAGGTATATTTGTTTTTTTCAGAGCGTGGTGTAGTGTGGGAAGAAACTATTATTTTGCTTCCTGATAATGTCCACTATGTCTTTCTTTCGGCTACTATTCCAAATGCCCGACAGTTTGCTGAATGGATTTGCCATTTACATAAACAGGTATTTTCTTTCCCTTTTTTGATGTCTTCAGTGTTTAAAATGTTCTAAGTTGGCTTTATTATACCCTTCTTATACTTTTCCCTAATGCTGTCCAGAGTAAAGAAGACATTTTAATATGAAACAATTTCTCAAATCAAACAGCTTATCAAAATCAGTTGAAAAAAATAGTGATTTCTAAGTCCCATCTCATACCCAGTACATTTAAATCTCTGGGAGTAGGGTCTTGGAAGCACTGATTTTCAAAGTTCCCAAGTTGATCCTGATGATATGTCAGGTTTGGAAGCTACTATGTTTACTAAGACATTGGTTCATGAGTACAAAGTAGAGAGAATTTCCTCTAATGCCTTGGTACCAAGAAAAGCTGGGCATTTCTTAAGCATATAATTTGATTTTTCTCATGTGAACACAGACTTTTTACTGACTGTTTCCATTTTGCTTTTCTAGTTCAGCTTTACTATCTATAAAGACCTTATAACGAGCATTTTATTTATGTGTACTGAATTTATTCTTGGTTGTGTTTTTCTGCCCTTATTTTTCCTTTGCACCAATATCCTTAGGAATTTATTTTTATTTGTTTGTAATCTCTCTAATAGTGTTTTTTTTAACATTCCCCCCATGTTGCTTTGTAGGATAGAAGCCCAGTGGATCTTCTGTAGGAGCTCGGTCAACATGCTGCTTTAGTAACATTTTGAAAAGACTCTGTGGGACAGAATTGATCCATTTTTACTTCAGGGATCGTTTGTATCACCATACTACTACATAGAAACACAGAGGGATTTTTTGTAGTTACAGCATGCCAGGGTTAAGTAATGAGTAACTGAAGCTCAGATTGTGTATTTTGCCCTGATTAGGGAATTGGTAAATTGGGAAGATGGTAGTATAATTTGATAGACCTAATTTTTCTACATTTTTCTCTTGTCTGGTGAAGTTTTTTAAAAAAGTGTTTAAAAAACATTTCTTTTTGAAATGTTGAATTTACAGTTTTGTTTTCCCAAAGTCTTTGTAGCTCAATATGCAGTTTTATTTTGAAAAACTAAAATTTTATTTAATTATTTCTTTTCTTTTCACAGCCTTGTCATGTAATTTACACAGATTATCGGCCTACTCCATTGCAACACTACATTTTTCCAGCAGGGGGAGATGGCCTGCACCTTGTGGTTGACGAAAATGTAAGGGAGTAATTGTCATCCTTATATCTATGATGATGTAATTTATCGTTTTTCCTTAATTTTGAACTAGAGAAGAATGGCAGAGGTCCTTTTTTTTTTTTGAATTTTTATTTCAAAAATTATGTTTGAGATTTGTGGCTTTTTTAATGCATGAATTAGATTTTCCTCCTTTCTAGTTAAAAATGCCTGGAGAATAAGAGCTCTGGACATTAAGTTTTGCTTTTCCCAGTTTCTTTACTTCTTTATCACCTTAGTTACCTCTTACCACAGATAATTTTTAAGTTATTTTACTTATCTCTGTTAAAATTATTATTTTAAATTATTTTTATTATTTGAGGAAGCTTTGTTTGAGGTATGAAAAATGTTTGAATTATGATTAAATATTAGTGAAGTTACATAGAAAAAAAATCTGTGATTCCAGGGTGACTTTAGAGAAGATAATTTTAATACTGCTATGCAAGTGCTTCGAGAGGCAGGAGATTTGGCAAAAGGAGATCAGAAGGGACGGAAAGGAGGAACAAAAGGTAATTTGGAACTTTGTTTTGAGAAAACTTTACCTGTAAATTGTATATTCAGATCACTATAACATTTTTTGTGTTCTATTTAATTTTTTTCTCAGTAAGCCATATAAATATCTAGATGATATGTGATAAAATATAAAAGTTGATCTCTTTCCTGTATGACATTAAGTATAATTTAGATACTACAAAATTCACTCATTTAAAGTGTACAATTCAGTGGTTTTCAGTATATTCATAGAATTATGCAGCCATCACCACAATCAACTTTTCGCATTAAGATATAATTCACATACCATGAAATTCACTATTCTAAAATGTACAACTCAGTGGTTTTTAATATATTCATAGAGTTGTGCAGTCATCACTGTTGATTCCAAAACATTTTGATCAACCCAAAAAGAAACGCTGTACATATTAGCAGTCATTTTTCCCCAATCTCTGCCCTCCTCAACACCCAGACTTAGGCAGTCAGTCACTTGCCTACTTTTTTGTCTCTTATGAATTTGCCTTTTCTGGACATTTTATATAAATAGAATCATGTATATGGTCTTTTGTGACTGGCTTCTTTCACTTAACATGTTTTCAAGTTTCATCCATGTTTTACTATGTGTCAGTACTTCATTCTTTGTATGGTCAAATAACATTCCATTGTATGGATATTCCACATTTTATTTCTACATCAGTGGATGGTCATTGGGGTTGTTTCTAGTTTTTGACTGTCATGAATAATGCTGTTATAAACATTCGTGTGTGTACTGTAAGTTTTTGTGTAAATATGTGTTTTCTTTTCTCCTGGGTATAAACGTAGCAGTGGAATTGCTGGGTCATATGGAAAGACTATGTTTAAGCTTTTGAGGAACTGCCAGATAATTTTCCAGAGTGGCTGCATCATTTTATGTTCCCATCAGGAGTGTATGAAAAGTCCATTTTCTCCACATCTTTGGCTGTACTTAATATTGTATATCTGTTTGGTTATAGTCATACTAGTGGGTGTGAAGTGGTATCTCGGTGTTATTTTTCTTTGCATTTCTCTGGTGGCTAATGGTGTTGAGCATCTTTTCATGTACTTGTTGGCCATTTGTATATCTTCTTTGGAGAAATGTCAAATCCTTTGTCCATTTTTAAATTGGATTTTTTGTCCTTTTGTTGTTGAGTTATAAGAGTTCTTTATATATTCTGGATACTAGACCCTTATCAGATAGATGATTTGCAAATATTTTATCCCATTCTGTGAGTTAGGGTTATCCTTTTATCTTATTGATGGTGTCCATGAAAGCACAAAAGTTTTTCATTTTGATGAAGTTCAAGTAACCTATGTTTTTCTTCTGTTACTTTTGCTTTTGGTGTCATATCCAAGAATCCTTTGCCTGACCCAAGATCATGAAGATTTATTCCTATATTTTCTTTAAGAGTTTTATAGTTGTAGCTTTTACAGTTAGTCTGTGATTCATTTTGAGTTAATTTTTAGATATGGTTTATCTATTCTTTTTGCAGGACCATCGAATGTGTTCAAAATTGTGAAGATGATTATGGAAAGAAATTTTCAACCTGTGATTATTTTCAGTTTTAGTAAGAAAGATTGTGAAGCCTATGCACTTCAAATGACCAAATTAGATTTCAACACAGGTACTACATAATTTCAGTATGATTTTAATGTTATGTGAAAATTGAGTGTAAAATATATTTCTGGTAATATATCTGTTGTGGATTACTAGGATATGCAGTTCACCTTAGTTACAATAGTAGGTACTCCATACATTTGTAAAAACTTTGAGTCCCTTGATTTATAATTTCTTTTCTTTTCTTTCTTCTCTCTTCTTTTGTGGAAAGATATAAGTAAGTTGCTCTGTGTAAAATTTAAAGACCCCTACTGAGAAACATTGGAATCATGCCTCCTTATACTTTATTATCATAAACTCCTCATTTATTGACATTCTGTATTTGACTACTTAAGGGTAGGTCTCTTGGTGCAACCACCTTCTATGTAGGTAGTAGTGTGCTTTATTTGTATAGAAATCCAAACCAGCAAGACCTGCCCTTTGGTTAACTATGCTGTAATTCTCAAAGTAATATAACTTTTGGCAGATTAATAAATTATTCCTAAACATTAACTGTAAATGTAACTCAAAGTCACACAACTAGATAGCAGCACAGCCTGGCTGTCTTAGTCCATTTGTGCTGCTGAACAATGCCTGACTCTGAGTAATTTATAAAGAACAGAGATTTATTTCTTATAGTTCTGGAGACTGGGATGTCCAAAGTCAGTGGGCCTACATCTGAGAGAGAGAGAGAAAGACAGAGATTCAAACACATGAACTTTCAGGAACACATTCAAACCATAGCTGAATACCGACCCAGTTAGTATTCAGTTCTGCCTTTTACATATGTAATCCTCTACAGTGAAAAGTAAATAACATCTTAAATTCATCCAAAATTAAATTTCTGTTGTATTGTTTTCTTTATCAAGGTGGGTATTGTTTTTTTTAATGTATTCATTTTGAAGCTAATTTTTACTTTCTATGGGTTAAAGTAACAAATGATAACCCACATAGCCTGTTAAAGCCAATATTGTAATTATGTTTTTTGAGTGAATTGCTCTTATAAATGTTTTCTCTTAAATGCCAGTGCTGAATATGCTTGAAGTTCAGGGTTGCGTATTCATTAATTCAACAAATGTTTATTGAGTACTTGTTAGTTGATAGAAACTGTATAAGAAAGCAGTGTAGTGGTTAAGAGCATGGGCTTTGGAATTGTTGCTCTAACAGTTCATAGTAGTGCTGATTAGTTATAGTAAGCCTTACTTTCCTCAGTAATAAAAGATGGGTTGATAATTCCTTGTGTTCTACAACTGTTAGAATTAAATGTTGCATGTAAAGCACTCAGTGTATTTTTACTGTTTTTATAGGATAGTACTTTATGCATTAAGTGCTGGGTATGTTTTGCAAGGCAGTACATTTTATAAATTATAACTTTTGTCTACTTTCCCTTTTGATCATCTCAAATGGTGACTCTTCTTATAGGCTCTTTTTGTAGTGGGTGAAGTTTGGTATCACTGGCTCATTTTGATATTTATATACCCTTGAATTTTCTTTTAGATGAAGAAAAGAAGATGGTTGAAGAAGTATTCAGTAATGCAATTGACTGCTTGTCTGATGAAGATAAAAAGCTCCCTCAAGTGAGTTTTTAATATCAGTAACTAAAGTGTGGCTATTAATGTGTAGCATATATTCACTTTGCATTTCTTGGTTTTGTTACTATATTGCATTGTTTGCTCACTGCAGCATATGGGTTGCAGTATGTACTGAACTGATACTTTGATTTATATTTTAAATTTTTGGAAAGGTGACGGGAGGAAAGATTGCTGCCTGAAGGAACTTTTCTGTGAAAACTACCATGGTCTGGAAACTTCTCCCCATTTTCCTAATATTATAAAAACTTTAGTGCTGATTTTAAGTCATTAAATTTCTGAATTCATAAGGCTACCACACAAAATGAGAGAGCACACCTAATGAAAATCATATGTTCAGTGAGGAATTTAACATCTACTTTGCTTTAATCCAACATATTTATTCTTTGACTTTTGGAATTGCCTGGGAATTCTAAAATATGCTAATGCTTGGGTGCCACTCCCAGCAATTCTTATTTAATTAGTTTGGTGTGTGTTCTGTTCATTACCGTCTTTCCAAAGTTCCCCAGGTGATTCTACTGTGCATCTAAAAATGAGAACTACTTTAAACCAAACTAATTTTGTGGTATGAAAAGAAAAATTGGGAGGTAATAGTCTCCTTTACAAATGAATGCTTTGATTTGTAAGAGATTTACCATAAGATTGTGATAGCATGTTCCTCGGCATTTAAAATTATGTTTAATTTACAAACTTTTTTTGTAATTTTTCTTTTCAACTGAATTGTTAGTGTCTAAGGGCTGAGCCATGTCTTAATACATCTTTGTCGTCCTAGCACCCTTCTAATAGTAGGTATATAATAGCATTTGATAGAATGGTAATGAGAACGAACACTTCAGTAATTCATTTGTTTTTAGATAAAATACATATTCATGTTAAATATGTTTTATATTTAATTATTTTGGGGGGGTTTGAGTTGCCAATATCTTCTGTTTTTACAGATACAAATTCTGCCGTCACGGCTTGTAATTTTTTTAGAGGAGATGAAGTGAGGCTGGAAAATTTAAAGCAGCAAAGCATTTGTAAAGTTTATTTAAAACATACCTTTTATTTTTTTATTTATTTAAAACATACCTTTTATATTTAAGAAAGTGAGGCCAGAATTATATTATATTTTGAGTTTAATAATCCGTAGGAGTATAGATTTGGGTTTTGTTTTTATTCTGACAAGGTTTTATTAACAGTTTCTTTAGATACAGAACATTCTTTCTTTAATTACCAATTATTCTTAATTTGGATAAACATTTTTAAGTAACCTTTCCCTCATATCATTGTAAAATAAATATTCCAAAATCACAGGTTGAACACGTACTTCCTCTTTTGAAGCGGGGGATTGGTATTCACCATGGTGGTTTACTTCCTATTTTGAAAGAAACTATAGAAATTCTTTTTTCTGAAGGATTGATAAAGGTATGATTTCATTTCTGTTTATTATGCCACAGAATTGTGTTGCATGAACAGTTTGAAAATTATAGAAAACATTGTTCATAGGCAGTTTTATGTTGTGTGTGTGTTTTTTTTTTAACTAGGTTATATGGAATGAGTTAAGTAATGAACTTGATTTGTATATGTAGTGTTATACTTCATAAATTTTGTAATGTAGGTAAAAAAAAAGTTATTTGTTTCCTTAAAGTAAGAAGTAGTAATACTATTGGATATTGTAGAATTTTGGAGAAGGTGCTATTTAATTATTAGATGTGAAGTTAATTCAATAGGTGAACTTTTTTTCTACATACAGATTAAAAGGGTTAGTTTAGAGGAGACAAGGAGAATTGCTTGTTAGTCTTAGGAAAGAGAGTGTTTAGGATGTTGTAATTTTAATCAAAGAGAGTCTGGTATAATAAAATAATAAATGACATTGTGTCTATACCCAGAAATGAGGTATTAAAAAGGGGAAACAACCTGAAAATGTAATCATAAGCCTGTTTATGATTCGTACATTATTTTGTTTAAAAATCATTAGAATTTTAAAAATTATATGAAAGATTTATTGTGAGAACCTCAGTGCAAAGTAGAATATTTAAAAGAATTTACTCACTCTGAAGAATATATTTGAGGTACTTTAGGTAAAGAATTGATCAGTATTCATACCTAGGTCTTTTTTAACAAATAACAATTCTGTAATGAACTGAAGTATTTTTTTTATCTTTTCTATTGATGAAAATTGAGTACTTCACTGACTTGACTTGTACATATATCTTTGTGTGCCTGATCCAGTGTTTTTCTTGGTAAAATCTTAGAAGTAAACTTGGAGTCACTGATTCCAGTCTAAGAGATCCTAATGGTGAAGTGGTCCCCAAAACTGCTGTATTATCAGTTAAGAGGCCAGGAAATTTCACTATGTTTAGGAAAATATTCTTCAACCTAAAGTGTTGTTCATTAGACCAGTTTTAGTCTCTTCAGTTACCAATACTAGAATTTAAGGAAGACGATTTTCCCTGAATTACAGATTTTCTGGGATGTAAGGGACAGTAAAGATTATTTAATAATTTTATATGTAAATACTGAAATCCTTCTGGGAATAACGTGTATTATTGTTGTAGGGTCTCAATAACTAATTTTTAAAAATCAGTGATAGATTTATTTACATTTGAAAATTATAAAACTAGTTTTTCTGCTCAAGATACATGTTTAATTATACAGTTATTCATTTATTTAGGCCTTATTTGCCACAGAGACTTTTGCTATGGGAATTAACATGCCAGCTAGAACTGTTTTATTTACAAATGCCCGCAAATTTGATGGGAAGGATTTTCGATGGGTAAGTAATTTATATATTGAAATAATTTTTATCTTTAAGTGTTTTACTTAAGATGACTTTGGCTCATGTAATCTTTGAGATTTTTAGTATCAAATACTTAAGAACTTGTATCTGAGCTAATACAAATTCAACAGGGTTAAACCTCAGCTCCCTTAAATTTCTATCCTACCCTCCCCGCAAAAAAGACTCCTTCAGGTTAAGGAGTTTGGTGATGGCGGATAAGTGTGCAAATGATGCATCGAAGCTTTAAGATATTTTAATCTATCTAGAATTTTTATATCTGAAGTTTAAGGTATTTAAAGTTCCCCTGTTATAGAGGCTGTAGCTGCAGCTCAGAGTTTTGCCCTTCAAATGTAAATAGATGTTCTAACAGGTTTGCACACACATCTTTTCCAAGGCAGCAGGAAAGAAAGTTGGGAGCATGAATGAAATAGTGAACTGGGGTAAAAAATTAATCAGGAGGCAGGTACCCCCTGCGTATAACGGGATTTAACAAAGCAACCTTTTCTTCATGACCCAAGATCATAACTATGAACCTTAAAAATTGTAGTGTGCCACAATGTAGTGATGCTCTTGGGCCCTGTTGGGATTTTATTGGACTGCCTTTTTCAAGCATTCTTTTCTGATCTTGGATCTTTATAAAGTTGGCTTTCTTTGGTGGTGTTTTTTTCTGGTGCTTTTCTTGCTCCCAGGTTGTAAAGCCTGTTTTTGATGCCATCATTAGTAGGCTTTCTTATAGCATAGGGGTTCTTAACTATTCTTTTTTTTTTAACTTCATTATTTCTTTTTTACATTCTAGGATGTTGTTGTAGAGCAGTTGGGAGGGAGAGGGAGAGGGGAAAGGGGAAGGAAATGGGATGGAGGAAAGAGGAAGGAGGAAGGGTGGGATTGAGGCCTGTGGCACCCCCCACATTCCCATAGGGGAGACAGTGGGCTTCGAATGGTAGCTTGGTTATTGCCAGGCTGGGTGCAGATGTCAAGGAGGTGTGGCAATAGTCCTCACCCCCCACCACCCCAGCTCAGGAACCTGGGGCCCTTCTTGCTGAGGCTTGCTGGTTGTCACTGGGCTGGTTGAGCTTGGGGAGAGGTGTGGACAAGGTCCACGGTCCCCTGCTGCCCTGGCTTAGGAGAGCCTGGGGCTTTTCCTGCATTGGCTCGGTGGTCGTCACCAGGGTGGTTGCACTTGTCAGGTGGTGTATGGCGCTGAGACCCTCAGGCCCCATGCTCAGGACTGGTTGCAGGTGTTGGGGGGCATGGCTGAGGCCCCCAGCCCTCCCTGCTTCCTGGCTTGGTAGCCCAGGGGACTTCTGGTCCTTGTAGGTGTTATAGGTGTTCTTTGGTGAAATGAGACCTTTACTAGTTATCAAATTTTGTCTCTGGTTGTGGGTACTTTGTTTTTTCTTTCAGTTCTGTGTTGGGTTATTTGCTGTTCTGACCACTTAAACTCTACACTGGAACTAATTTGTTTTCCTTTGCTTATTTCTAAAATGGGGGAACTTCCTGTGGGGACAAGTACTTGAGCTCTGTGGTTGGGCTAAATTGCTGCTTTGCTGCTGATTCACTGGGGAAGGCTTTTTGTGGTTGACTTTATAGGTTCTTCTGGATCTGGTGAAATCTGATGCACCTGGGTTGCATAGAAACACTGGTCTGGGCCTGAGTCTTTTCATCAAACTGCACCCCTTGTGATTCTATATTCTTGACCAGTCTCCTCTGAGTGGTGCTGCACTGATTGGGGGGGGCAGATCAGTTGTCCTTGCTGAGATCCCCAGTGGTCTCCTGGTGAGCCCGTCTCCCCACTTCCCATGGGAAGGGCCATGTTCTGGTTCCTTGTGATGACTCACCAGCCTCTAAGTGGTTGTGGCTCCTCGGTCCTGTGTGGGTCCATGGGAATCCTGTTGGTGGTACTGCTGGCCTAGGGGCCACCAAGGCCCTCTTCTCCCCTGCCGCCTCCAAGCAACTTCATCCAAAAGTCACAGCTGCGGCTTTTTGCCGCCTCCTGCTCCATGAGCTCAGAAGCTCCAGCCTTAAAACAACAGCAGCACGAAATGGTCAGAACTGTTTTTTCTTTCTCTCATTGTGGCTTCTCCCACCTTCATGCACTCCATAGGTCTCTCCTCCTCTTCCCCTGAGCTCTAGCAGCCCCATCTTGGCTGTCGTTGCTTTTTAATAGTTGTAAATTGGCTGATTTGTGGGAGGGAATGACACTGGGGACCGTCTATTCCGCCATGCTGACCGATCCCTCTTAACTGTTCTTGAGTCATAATTTTTTTTAGAATCTGGACTCTTTCTACAGGAGAAAAAACACATGTGTTGATAGGAAAAACTTTGCATTGTGTTCAGGTGGTTCAGTGCCTCTCTGAAAGCTGGGAGATTTCACTAACCTTCCTCCACTAGGTTGTTCTTAGTGACAGATGAACTCTACTGAACTCCAAGGACACGATATATATCAAGAAAATAGGAGAGAATTGTGCTTTTCTTTTTAAAGTGTTAATTTTGTATTAACCTCATTTTGCAGATTAAGAAAGTTAATTATGAACAGGTCAGAATTGATACGTAGTTGAGTTTGGATCATTATTTGCTTCTTAGACTTTGCTGTTCTCTAGAATATCTAGCTGAAAGGTATTTTTTTATGGCATATAAAGGTATTTTTTTGAATTAGCTAATAATTACCAGTAGCTGTAGTGTATTTGGAAATATAGATTAACAGTATACTCCCCTCACCTGCATGAGTTGCTCTCTATCTGTCAGAACAGGAAGTAGGTCACATGATACCAGTTCAGCTTCCTCTACATTTGGCTTAGTGTTAAAATTAAGTCATTTTGGAGCTAAAATTTACTTTTGTAACATTATTCTCAAGTGTTTTTTATTTTTGTGCTTTTACTTAATCTCTCCTAGAAGTTTGTTTTTAATCATGTTTCCTTTCTTAGAATATGTAACTTGTAATTGTGAATTTTACAATAAGAAAAATGTTCAGAATTTCTCTATCAGGTTTTCTCCTAAACTCCAGATTTTAATTACGTTTATTCAGATTTCCTCTGGTGAATACATTCAGATGTCTGGTCGTGCCGGAAGGAGGGGGATGGATGATAGAGGTATTGTAATTCTTATGGTGGATGAAAAGATGAGCCCAACAATTGGAAAACAACTACTTAAGGTAACTAAGTTATGATTCTGTGCCTTTACCAAGAATTCTAGAAACATACTCCAAAGCCACTTTAGAATCAGTTGTGTAAATTCAGATATCTTTCTTAAGTAGATGAGTTAATTTACTAAACTATCTGGGTTTAGGAAAGTAGAAGGTGACTGTCAGAATACTGATCTCTTGTATCCTACTTCATTTACCAGGTGAGAAGCAACTCATGCAATGTAGAGGATGTGAGGATCCCCAGACAGGGCAGAAATATTTACTTTGCCCTCCAAATTTAAGATACCTCTGTACCTGCCCCCTTACCTGCACAAGTCACAACAGGAAGTAGGGCACGTGATATCAGTGTTTGGGACAGTCAGCTTCCACTACCTTTGCAAGCCCAGATAGTTTAATAAATTACCTCAGCATTCTACCTTTCCTGTTCACCCTACTAATCATAAATATCCCAGTCATAAATTTAAATTTTTAAGCTTTGTTGCAAATTAGCCTTTTATTTTGTTTGCTTGATATTTGTGTTTTGGATGGTCTAGAGTTATTAGTGTTTTGTTTTGAAGAGCTTCTCAAGGAAGTTTGACCTGGTTCTGTTACTTCTTCATGTAGTAAGAAGTTATTAAATCCCTAGAGAAGGGCCGGCCCGGTGGTGCACTGCTACAGTGCGCCGCTTGGGAGTGCGGCGGCGCTCCCGCCGAGGGTTCGGATCCCACATACAGACCGGTTCCCGCTCACTGGCTGAGCAAGGTGCGAGCGCAACACCGAGGATTGTGATCCCATTGCCGGTCCCGGTCCAGTGCGGGCGCAACACTGAGGGTTGCGATCCGTGGCTGGACACAAAAAAAGACAAAAAGGAAAAAAAAAAATTCCTAGAGAAAACTGTTAGTAAGATAGGAAACTTTAATTGAAAACGTAAAATTAATTGCCAGCTCATTAGCTACTTAAAATGGAGCTCAAAACATGTTAGGACATACATAGGTCAGTATCTACAAAATAAACTGCTCAACTTCTTAGACTTGGGAACTGCATGGAGAATTTGAGATACAGTTGTGGGAAGCCTGATATATTGAAGCAAAAATAGATAAAGATGCATACATATTTTATATGTTTTTATATAAGTGAACCTTGTCTGTACATACTCATGGTGATCATATGGTGTCTTATTTTCAGTTATAAAGATTAACACTTGGAAACCATTTTTTAAGAGTTTTAAACCATATAACTTTAGTTCTTCATGGAAGGAAAATTACATAAGACTGAAAATTGTGTATTTATTTTTTTCTTCAAATTGTGCCAGATATAACAAACATTATTCTTCTTTCCTTGTTACTCTAACAGAATTAAGTTGTCAGATTGTAGGAGGTGATATTGTAATGACAGCATTTGGTTCCTTTAAAGTTTTCATTCCATTTACTTGACATTCCTGAATTTTTTACTCTGTAAATGTAAAGTTCTATCATTTTTCATATCATTTTTCATATCATTTTTCAATTAACTTTTTAAATAGTTTTATTGAGATGTAATTTACATACAGTACAATTTACTTATTTCCATGGTTTTGAATGTTTTCAGTTTTGTCACCATCACCACAGTCAATTGTAGGACCTTTTCATCAACCCCAAAAGAAACCCTGTGTCCATTAAAATCACTCCTCTTTCCCCCCAATCTGTCCCCCTCCAGAACCCCCCCTAGCCCTAGGCAGCCACTACTCTACTATCTGTTCCTATAGACTTGCCTATTCTGTACATTTCATATAAACAGACTCATATAATGTGTGGCCTTTTGTATGTGGATTTTTTTCACTAAGTATAACGTTTTCAAGTTTCATCCATGTGCTAACCTGTATCAGCATTCCTTTTTATTGATGAATAATATTTCATTGTATAAGTATACCACATTTTATTTATGCATTCATCAGTGGATGGATGTTTGGATTATTTACACTTTTTGGCTATTGTGAATAATGCTGCTATGAACATTTGTGTATAAGTTTTTGCGTGAATATGTGTTTTCTTTTCTCCTGTTTATATACCTACTAGTGGTATTGCTGAGTCATATAGTCATTCTATGTTTAACCTTTTGAGAAACTTCCAGACTGTTTAATTCATCAGCTGCACCATTTTACATTCCCATCAGCAGTATATGAGGGTTCCAATTTCTTTACATTCTAGCCAGCATTTGTTTAGCTGTCCTTTTGGTTTATAGCCATCTTAGTGGGCATGAAGTGGAACACTTCACTTTGAATATTTTATAGTTTGACTGATTGAAAAGATGTAGTACCCATTTGTGTATCTGCATTTCTAGACATTTCTTTTATTGAGACTTAACTGGTGTACAATTTTTTTTGCCTAGCATTTTTTTCAGGTAGTTTTACCATCATTAAAGAATTTCTAGGCAACTTTTTTAGTAACAATAACAACAACTAATACTTAAGGAATATTCAACATGTCCCAAACATTAATTACTATTATCAGCTAACAATAATTACTGTTATTGGGCCGGCCCGGTGGCGCACTGCTACAGTGCACCGCTTGGGAGCGCGGCGGCGCTCCCGCCGAGGGTTCGGATCCCACATACAGACCGGTTCCCGCTCACTGGCTGAGCGAGGTGCGGGCGCAGCACCGAGGATTGCGATCCCGTTGCCGGTCCCGGTCCAGTATGGGCGCGACACTGAGAGTTGCGATCCATTGCCGGACACGAAAGAAGACAAAAAGGAAAAAAAATAATAATAATAATTACTGTTATTATCCCCACTTTATATACAAATAAAGCATGCAGAGGTTAAATAATTTGTCCAAAGTCATATTGGGTTTTTTTTCCCTTTTTAAAAAAAATTTTTTTATTGAATCAAAATTGATTATACATATCTCCCAGGTCCGAGGGCAGGCCCTGAGGTGCTGGTGTGGTGTGCCTGGTCGTGGGAGGTGGGTCTAGTCCTCTTCTCCATACCCTGGGTCCCCCAGCGGGCCCTGAGGTGCTGGCGTGGGGTGCCTGGTTGTGGAAGGGAGTCCAGGAGGTGGGTCCGGTCCCCTTCTACATTCCCTGGGTCCCTGGTCGGGATCTGAGACACTGGTGAGGTGTATCTGGTTGTGGGAGGGAGGTTTGTTCCACTTCTCCATGCCTCAGGCCCCTGGGCGGGCCCTGATGCACTGTCCCAGCATGCCTAATTGTGGGAGGGTAGGTCTAGTCTCAACTCCTTATCCTGGGTCCCTGGGCAGGCCGTGAGGCACTGGCATGGTGAGACTAATTGTGGGAGGATGGTTCAGTTCCCTTCTCCATGCCCCAGGTCCCAGGACAGGTCCAAGGTGCTGGCACAGGGTGCCTGGTTTGTAGGAGGTGGGTCCGGTCCCCTTCTACATTCCCTGGGTCCCTGGTCGGGATCTGAGACACTGGTGAGGTGTATCTGGTTGTGGGAGGGAGGTTTGTTCCACTTCTCCATGCCTCAGGCCCCTGGGCGGGCCCTGATGCACTGTCCCAGCATGCCTAATTGTGGGAGGGTAGGTCTAGTCTCAACTCCTTATCCTGGGTCCCTGGGCAGGCCGTGAGGCACTGGCATGGTGAGACTAATTGTGGGAGGATGGTTCAGTTCCCTTCTCCATGCCCCAGGTCCCAGGACAGGTCCAAGGTGCTGGCACAGGGTGCCTGGTTTGTAGGAGGTGGGTCCGGTCCCCTTCTACATTCCCTGGGTCCCTGGTCGGGATCTGAGACACTGGTGAGGTGTATCTGGTTGTGGGAGGGAGGTTTGTTCCACTTCTCCATGCCTCAGGCCCCTGGGCGGGCCCTGATGCACTGTCCCAGCATGCCTAATTGTGGGAGGGTAGGTCTAGTCTCAACTCCTTATCCTGGGTCCCTGGGCAGGCCGTGAGGCACTGGCATGGTGAGACTAATTGTGGGAGGATGGTTCAGTTCCCTTCTCCATGCCCCAGGTCCCAGGACAGGTCCAAGGTGCTGGCACAGGGTGCCTGGTTTGTAGGAGGTGGGTCCGGTCCCCTTCTACATTCCCTGGGTCCCTGGTCGGGATCTGAGACACTGGTGAGGTGTATCTGGTTGTGGGAGGGAGGTTTGTTCCACTTCTCCATGCCTCAGGCCCCTGGGCGGGCCCTGATGCACTGTCCCAGCATGCCTAATTGTGGGAGGGTAGGTCTAGTCTCAACTCCTTATCCTGGGTCCCTGGGCAGGCCGTGAGGCACTGGCATGGTGAGACTAATTGTGGGAGGATGGTTCAGTTCCCTTCTCCATGCCCCAGGTCCCAGGGTAGGCCCTGAGGTGCTGGCATAGTATGCCTGGTTGTGGGAGGGGGGTCTCGTCCCTGGTTCCATACCCCGGGTCCCTGAGCAGGCCCCAAGGTGCTTGCATGGGTTGCCTTGTTGTGGGAGGCGGGTCTGGTCCCCTTCTCCATGCCCTGGGTCCCAGTGCAGGCCCCAAGGTGCTGGCGCCATGTGCCTGGTTGTGGGAGGGGGGTCCGGTCCTCTTCTCCATGCTCCTGGTCCCCAGTCGGGACCCAAGGCACTGGCGAGGTGTGCCTGGTTGTGGGAGAGGGGTCCAGTCCCCTTCTACATTGCTTGGGTCCCCGGTCGGGACCCAAGGGGCTGGCGAGGTGTGCCTGGTTGCGGGAGGGAGGTTTGGTCCCCTTCTTCATGCCTCAGGCCCCTAGGTGGGCCCTGATGCGCTGTCCCTGCATGCCTCATTGTGGGAGGGTGGGTCCAGTCCCAATTCCTTATCCTGAGTCCCTGGGCAAGCCCCAAGGTGCTGGTGTGGTGAGCCTAGTTGTGGGAGCAGGGTCCAGTCGCCTTCTCCATGCCCAAGGTCCCTGGGCAGGCCCTGAGGCACTGGCATGGTGTGCCTGGTTGGGGGGGGGGGTCCAGTCCCATTCTCTATGCCTCAGGTCCTCAGATGGTATCTGAGGTGCTGGCACAGGGTGCCTGGTTGTGGGAAGGGGTTCTGGTCCCCAGATGGGCCCTGAGGTGCTGGTGTGTGCCTGGTTGTGGGAAGGGGGTCCGATCCCTAGCTGCTAG